TTATGCCCGTTTTACAGATGAGGGCACTATAGCTCAAATATGTTAAACAACTTGCTTAAGGGCTGACAACTAGTTGGATAGAGACAGGATTTGAGCTAATGTAGTCTGGCTCCAGAATCTGAACTCTTTACTACTTTTACTGCCTTAATACGCTTATGGTCCCAAGAGGGCAGAGGACAGCACACAAAGAACCATGTAATATACTTAGAAAATTGCATGCAGAGAATGCAACAGGAAAGGCTTTCCAGAGGAGGGAGCATTTGAAGTGAACATCAATTGTTGGGAACAGATTCAAGAAGAGGAACTGGAGTAAAGGTCAACTAGGTGAAAGAACTGTTACAGGATTGGCAAGTTACTTTCACCGAAAGTGCCAGTTACAGTTAATTGATAGTGGCGGTGAGTAGCACTATGTAAAGATACTGTACCCCAGCTCAGTGGGAAAGCTTGTGATGATTAACAATATCTGCCATGGGCAGGGGAGGGGAGATTTGTAGCACTCATGACATGAATTTTTGTCACTGCGCTATTATGACACAGAGATGAGAAATTATGGATCATGTTTTGGAAAGCAATGACTGTATGATTTTGACTGGATCATAGGTTATGCGTAAGGAAAGTGGAGGCTTAAATAAGATTAGAAATATGTGGTGAGGCTGTATGGCAGAGTGTTTTAAATGACAGACTGGAGAGTTTGTACGTGAGTCAGTAGGTAGTGAGGAGTCATGGAAAATTTTTAAGCTGGAGAATAGTGTCATAGGAGCCCTACTGTAAGAAGATTAATCTGGCAGGAGCATACAAAATGAATTGATATGGTGAATGAGTGGAGACAAAGAGACTGTTCAAGGCAATGTTAAAAAACTTAATGGGTGGTACCTGGTTAAAACAGGGAACAACCACTTTTCTCCCATTAACTTGATAAAGATTAAAATATAGGTATCAGGAAATGAATACTCAAATAGTCTGCTGGTGATACATTGGTTCAACTTTTCCGGAGGGCTATTTGACAACACATATAAAAAGCTTTACAAATTATTCATTCCGGCTGGATGCAGTGGCTCACACCCGTAATCCCAGCACTTTGGAAGGCCAAGGCAGGTAGATCACCTGAGGTCAGGGGTTTGAGACCAGCCTGGCCAAAATGACAAAACCCCCTATCTAATAAAATAAAAATATTAGCTGAGAATGGTGGTAGGCACCTGTAATCCCAGCTACTCAGGAGAATCGCTTGAACCTGGAAGGCGGAAGTTGCAGTGAGCCGGGATCGCGCCATTGCACTCTAGCCTGGGAGACAAGAGCAAAACTCCATCTCAAAAAAAAAAAAAAAAAAAAGATGTACCCCTTTTAACCTAGTATGTAGCAATTTATGCCACAGAAGTAAGCCTGGATGTATGCAAAGACGTAGCTCTGAATATGTTTATTGCATTGCCATCTTAAAAAACAAATGTAGCCCAGATACTGGCTGTGCAGTTTCTCATCACCAGCCAACCTGAGTCAAGATTTGGCAATTACTTACATTCACCATAGAGAACTCACTATATAAAAACCATTTAGGGCAGGGCGTGGTGGCTCACATCTGTAATCTCAGCACTTTGGGAGGCCGAGGTGGGTGGATCAACCTGAGGTCAGGGGTTCAAGACCAACCTGGCCAACATGGTGAAACCCCATCTCTACTAAAAATACAAAAAATTAGCCAGTTGTGGTGACATGCGGCTATAGTTCCAGTTACTTGGGGGCTAAGGCAGGAGAATCACTTAAACCTAGGAGGCAGAGGTTGCAGTGAGCTGAGATCGTGCCATTGCACTCCAGCCTGGGCAACAAGAGTGAAACTCTGTCTCAAAAAAAAAAAAAAAAAAAAAAAAGTCATTTAGTCATTAGCAATGATGGATGTAGTAAAGATTACATAGGGGAGATGTATACGAGGCTTTAATAACATTGAAACGTGCTCAGTACACAACTTGAAGTCCCTTAGAGGTGTCTTCCTTCTCCACAGCACTGAGCTGGAACCCTCATCCCTGAGATCCTTTTCCCATAGTCCTTAGTCCTTATCCTCCTTCTCTTCTCTCTTTCATGTAAAGTTACTTTTTTCCACTTGACTTTGGGCATCAGAGTCTATTCTGAACAGGACTCTTTTTTAACAAATTGGTTTCTTTTTAGAAAACATTATTGTAAATATTTGTGGAAAATATAAAAATTACGAGTTTCACAAAACACTGGAACACTCATGTTTTTTAAAAAAAGCGGGGAGATTTGTTAAATAAATTTTAGTGTTACTCGTTACTACATAAAACTTGTTGAGCTCTCATGGGCAACATGAGAATCCCTAGGTAAATGTGATCATTTCCATGGTTTTAGATATGACAAATGTGCTGACAACACTCAAATTTGTATTTCTAACACAATCTTTCCTGTGTTCCAGACATATTATCTCACTTTAGATTAATATATCTATAGTTAATGTCTCGTTGATACCTTGAACTTACCACATTCAACCTAGTCCTCATCTTGTTTCCCCCCGTCTTCCCAAACTCAGAAAATGCAGTACCATCTGAAAAGTTACTAAAGTCAGAAACTTAGTAGGCATCGCTAGTTCTTTCCTTCTTTCCCACTTCTTTCCATACCCAGTTGATTAACAAGTCTTTTAGCACTGCCTCCAAAATACAGTCATCAACGTCTTTTCATTCCCATTCCTCACCGCACTCCAGAAGTTTCCATGAAGAAAGCACTGTATATATAAAAGCATAGAGATCTAAAAGGGCTGGATTGTCTGAGGAAATTACAGGTGTATAAGGTTTGTAAGTCTATGTGGTTTCAAGGAGATGAGGCTGGAAAACATGTTCCTTAAAAGATGGGATTCAAGAGTGAAGGTGGCAGGTTTGGGTGAGGACCCATGCAGAGATCAGGCACAAACGCTTAGGCTGTCTCTTTTCCGAAATACTAGCAAAGGAAAGATGATACCAAACAAAGGAAACATAACACACAGTTTTAATAAGCAAAAAGAGGTAACAAGCTTTTTTCCTTCTCATCCAAAAGAATAGGTCTTGCTAAGTGTACATTACCAAAAGTATTATGGTTGTGAATAGGCTGGGCACCCATTAGAAAAGCAAAATAGGCTGGGTGTAGTCGCTCATGCCTGTAAATCCCAGCAGTTTGGGAGGCTGAGGCAGAAGAATCACTTAAGTTCGAGATTGCAATTAGTTATGATTGTGCCACTGTACTCCAGCCTGGGCAACAGAGTGAGAACCTGTTTCAAAAACAAGAAAGCAAAAATAATAAAACTACACATGTTAACTTTTAGTTATGGGTGAATTTATTTAATCTCAAAGGCAGAACTAGCTTTAAGTTGGCATATTTTAACTTTGGAGGAACACCCAGCACATACTTGCTTTCTTTTTTTCTTCTTCTTTACTATGTTAAAAAATTAAGATATAAATCATATGCCATAAAATTCATCTTTTTACATGTACGATTCAGTGATTTTAGTACTTTCATAAGGTTGTAAAACTATTACAACTATGTAATTCCAGAACATTTTTGTCATCTTCAAAGTAAACCTCCCACCTATTAGCAGTAATTCACCATTCTCCCTCTCTCCAGAAGTCCCTGTTAACTACTTTAATCACCCTTCTGTCTCTATGGATTTGGCTATTCTGAACATTTCATGTAAATGAAATCATACAATATGTGATCTTTTGCGATTGGCCTATTTCACGTAGCATGATGTTTTCAAGGTTCATCCATGCTGCAGCATGCATCAGTACTTCATTCCTTTATATGGCTAAATAATATTTTAAATGATATTTTATTTTGTGGATATACTACCCTTTATCTATCCATTCATCACTAATGGGCATTTGGGCTGTTTTCATTTTTTGACTATTATAAATAATGTCACTATGGACATTTGTTTACAAGTTTTTATGTGGACCTATAGTTTCATTTCTCTTGGATATATACTTACAAGGTGACTTGCTCGGTCATATGGTAACTCTGTATTTAACTTTTTATGGAACTACCAAGCCATTTTTCTAAAGTGGCTGCACCATTTTACATTCCCATTAGCAATGGATTCTAATTTCTCCACATTCTTGCCAACACTTGTTATTGTCTGTTTTGTGTTGTTCTTATGGCCATCTTAGGGGCTTGCTTTCTTTTCTGCTCTCTGAGGTCCTACCTCACTTGCTGGTTGAAACCCAGTATTTCACTTTTCATTCTTTATTTTTAATAATCTGAGGGTGATTGAAAATGGCAGACTACACAGTGTTTTAAGAATCCAGAAATTTCTAGCTAGCCTGGAATATTTGGAAGTTCTGGTAACATTGGGCAACAATTGGTTGGAAATTAGTAGAGGCCTTTCAATGTTCACCATCTTCTACTGTCTTACACCTGAGCTGCTTTTTATATTTATTTTTTTACCTGGCTCCATAGATAACTGAATTTGAGGCTCCTGGTTAAAACAATCTGACATAACTTAATCGTGAATGTTGAATCTCAGAGCAATAAATAAGGTACTCTAAAAATAAACCTAACCAAGGAGGCAGGAATAGAAACTTTATGAGGAAAATTATTAAACCTTTACTGAAAGAGATCAAAGAAGATCTAAATAAATGAAGAGAAATAACATGTTCAAGGATAGAAGGACTCAATTCACCCTAACATAATCGAATTCAATATAACACAATTAAAACTTCAACAGGATTACTCATGGAAATTTAACAAAATAAGTCTAAAATTGTTTGGAAATGTAAAAGGCTGAGAATAACTTAAGACACTCCTGAAGAAGAATATTGTTGAAGGAGAGTTTCTCTACCAGATAATCACATGATTTACAAAGCTATAGGTGATTAAGATGGTGTGATATTTGAATAATAATCAGTGGAACAGAATATAAGAGCTGGTAACAAACATGCACAATTTATAACTTTATGTATCAATAGATTTGGCACTGCAAACTATAAACATTAAAAAATTATTTAAGAAATAATCGACAAAGCCCAGACGCAGAGAAAATGGCGGCAGCTGTCGAAGCGGTGGCCGAGGTGGCGGCGACGGAGATCAAAATGGAGGAGGAGAGCGGCGCGGCAGGCGTGCCGAGTGGCAGCGGGGCTCCGGGCCCTAAGGGTGAAGGAGAACGACCTGCTCAGAATGAGAAGAGGAAGGAGAAAAACATAAAAAGAGGAGGCAATCGCTTTGAGCCATATGCCAATCCAACTAAAAGATACAGAGCCTTCATTACAAACATACCTTTTGATGTGAAGTGGCAGTCACTTAAAGACCTGGTTAAAGAAAAAGTTGGTGAGGTAACATACGTGGAGCTCTTAATGGACGCTGAAGGAAAGTCAAGGGGATGTGCTGTTTTTGAATTCAAGATGGAAGAGAGCATGAAAAAAGCCGCGGAAGTCCTAAACAAGCATAGTCTAAGTGGAGGACCACTGAAAGTCAAAGAAGATCCTGATGGTGAACATGCCAGGAGAGCAATGCAAAAGGCTGGAAGACTTGGAAGCACAGTATTTGTGGCAAACCTGGATTATAAAGTTGGCTGGAAGAAACTAAAGGAAGTATTTAGTATGGCTGGCGTGGTGGTCCGAGCAGACATTCTTGAGGATAAAGATGGAAAAAGTCGTGGAATAGGCACTGTTACTTTTGAACAGTCCATTGAAGCCATGCAAGCTATATCTATGTTTAATGGCCAGCTGCTATTTGATAGGCCAATGCATGTCAAGATGGATGAGAGGGCCTTACCAAAGGGAGATTTCTTCCCTCCTGAGCGTCCACAGCAACTTCCCCATGGCCTTGGTGGTATTGGCATGGGGTTAGGACCAGGAGGGCAACCCATTGATGCCAATCACCTGAATAAAGGGCATTGGAATGGGAAACATAGGTCCCGCCGGAATGGGAATGGAAGGCATAGGATTTGTAATAAATAAAATGGGAGAAATGGAGGGGCCCTTTGGTGGTGGTATGGAAAACATGGGTCGATTTGGATCTGGGATGAACATGGGCAGGATAAACGGTGGAGGTGGAGGCAGCGTCCCTAGGATCGAGAGGATGGGTCCTGGCATTGACCACCTCGGGGGTGCCGGCATGGAGCACATGGGCGCAGGCCTCGGCCACGGCATGGATCTCGTGGGCTCTGAGATCGAGCGCATGGGCCTGGTCACGGACTGTATGGGTTCCGTGGAGCGCATGGGCTCTGGCATCTAGCGCGTGGGCCCGCTGGGCCTCGACCACATGGCCTCCAGCATTGAGAGCATGGGCCAGACCATGGAGCGCATTGGCTCTGGCGTGGAGCGCATGGGTGCCGGCATGGGCTTCGGCCTCGAGCACGTGGCCGCTCCCATCGACCGTGTGGGCCAGACCATTGAGCGCATGGGCTCTGGCGTGGAGCGCATGGGCCTGAGCATGGAGCGCATGGTGCCCGCAGGTATGGGGGCTGGCCTGGAGCGCATGGGCCCCGTGATGGATCGCATGGCTACCAGCTTGGAGCGCATGGGCGCCAACAACTTGGAGCGGATGGGCCTGGAGCGCATGGGTGCCAACAGCCTTGAGCGCATGGGCCCTGCCATGAGCCCGGCCCTGGGCGCTGGCATCGAGCGCACGGGCCTGGCCTTGGGTGGCAGTGGCGGTGCCAGCTTTGACTGCGCCATCGAGATGGAGCGTGGCAACTTTGGAGGAAGCTTCGCAGGTTCCTTTGGTGGAGCTGGAGGCCATGCTCCTGGGGTGGCCAGGAAGGCCTGCCAGATATTTGTGAGAAATCTCCCATTCGATTTCACATGGAAGATGCTAAAGGACAAATTCAACGAGTGCGGCCACGTGCTATATGCCGACATCAAGATTGAGAACAGGAAGTCCAAGGGGTGTGGTGTGGTTAAGTCCGAGTCACCAGAGGTGGCTGAGAGAGCTTGCCGGATGATGAATGGCATGAAGCTCAGTGGCTGAGAGACTGACGTTCTAATCGATAGAAATGCTTAAGCAGTTGCCTTTTTTAAACATCGAAACCAGACCTCTGAATTTGTATTTTTTCTTGTTAACAATTTTAATTTGTTGGCTGGATGTATAAAGATGTTTAAAAAATTCAGTTGCTTTTTGGGGTAATTTAAATTACTTTTTTAATGACTGGGGTTCCATTTGACTGTTTGCATTGAGATTGCAATGTGCGCAATTTTTTTTGTAGTTGTGGCATCTTGTTGACATCGGATATGACTTTGATAATAAATACTGGTTCCTGAAAAAAAAAATGATAATCCTGGGACAATTTGTTATCCATATGGGAAAAAATACAGTACTCATTTGATCTATAAAAATAAATTTTAGGCTGCTTAAAGACCACGTAGGCCAAAGCACAGTGACTCGTACCTGTAATTCCAGTACTTTGGGAGGCCAAGGTGGGAAGATTGCTTGATGCCAAGAGTTCAAGACCAACGTGGGCAATATAGCGGGACTACATCTCTATAAAAAAAATCACCGTATGTAGGGGTACACCCCGGTTGTTCCAGCTACTCAGGAGGCTGAAGTGGGAGGATTGCTTGAGCTCAGGAGGTTGAGGCTGCAGGAAAAAAAAAAGAGACTTCATGTGAAAGCAAAAGTTTAAAACATTTAGAAACAAATATACAAGAACATTTATATGACATAAAGGAAAGAAGGAATTTTTAAGACACTAAAAACATATCCTCAATGAAAAATATTGATTAAGTGATATTTTTTCAGCAAAGGACAAACTGAAAACATTGAAAAGACAATTCACAAAAAGGAAGAAATAGTTTCAAAAAAGAAAATTGGAAAATAATGGTATTCAGAATATGTAAAGAACTTTTGCAAATCAATGAGAAAAAGACAAACAACTAAGTTAAAATATTCAGAGGAAAATTCAGAATGGCCAATAAATATATAAAAACATGGTAAGTATTATTCCTTATTGTTCCTTTTGTGTAAATGTGATTTTCTTTGGTGACAAAGCCATAGGTACTCAACTGTTGTTTGTTGCCTACATTCAAAAGTGAAAGATTTGTTAAATTTCAGTTACAGTTTGGTATTTTTTTCTTTTTCTTTTTTTTTTTTTTAGACAGGGTTTCTCTCTGTTGCTCAGGCTGGGGTACAGTGGCACAATCTCAGCGCACTGCAACCTCCACTCCCAGGCTCAAGCGATCCCGGCACCTCAGCCTCCTGAGTAGCTGGGACTATAGGCATTTGCCACCATGCTTAATTTTTGGATTTTTGGTAGAGACAGGATTTCCTCATGTTGCCTAGGCTGGTCTCGAACTCCTGAAGTGATCCTCCCACCTTGGCCTCCCAAAGTGCGATGAGCCACTGCACCCAGTCATTCATTAGATCAATGTATTAATAAAATACAACTAATATCAATGAGAAGAAATGAAAAAATCTGACACTTCCAAGTATTAACAAGGACATAGGCCAATGGGAACTAAAAATCACTCCTAAGTGGAGCAAAATTGTTCAAAATATTTCCAGAAAACCATTTGTCATTATTTCAAATTTCAAGATGCTGATAACTTACTACTCAACAACTGGAGCACTCACAACCTCATACAATAGGAGATAGGTACAAGAATATTCTGGCAGCATTGTTTGTAATACCAAAAAAATTTGAATCAATCAACAGAAGAATAGATAAATATATTTTGGCAGATTTATCTGATATGGTTTACCTGTTTTGTCCCCTCCACATCTCATGTTAAAATGCGATCTCCAATGCTGGAGGTAGTCCTAGTGGGAGATGTTTGGGTCATGAGGGTGGATCCCTTATGAATGGCTTGGTGCTGTCCTCATAGCAGTGAGTTCTCACTCTATGTTCATGTGAGAGCTGGTTGTTTAGAAGAGTCTGGCACTTACTCCCTGTCTCTTTTTCTTGCTCTTGCCTTGTGATATGCCGGCTCCCCCTTTGCCTTCTGACATGATTGTAAGTTTCCTGAGGCCTCACCAGAAGCAGATGCTGATGCCATGCTGCTTGGATAGCCTGCCTAACCATTTGACAGAAAACAAACCTCCTTTCTTTATAAATTACCCAGTCTAAGGTATTCCTTTATGGCAATGCAAACAGACTAACACATATCTAATGGCATGCAATACAGTACTGAAAACAAATAACACTAACGCTGTTGCATCAATGTATATGACAATTCTTAACAAATGAAATATTGAGTGAAAATGAAAGTTAGGAACATGTACGTTTATGCCAATATTATGGAAAGTTTGAGAACATGCACAAAACTAAACAATGTATTGATTAGGAGTACATTCACAGGTAGTAAAACTACAAGGACAAGCAAAAAAAACGATAGAAAAGAAATTACAGGAGAGTGATTAGTTAACCTCTGAGCAAGGGAGAGAAGATGCAAACAGGGAAAGACAAAGAAGAGGCTCCAATGTTATGCTGTATTTCCTAAAAATGGGTTGTGGGTACACCTAGGCATGTGTGCATCACATATACTCAAAGTAGTAAATAAAATCTCAGAAGAGGTGTTTTGTTTGTTTTGTTTTGAGACAGAGTCTTGCTATGTCACCCAGGCTGGAGTGCCATGACATGATCTCGGCTCACTACAAACTCTCCCTCCTGGGTTCAAGTGATTCTCCTGCCTCAGCTTCCCATGTAGCTGGGAGGCCTGTGCCACCACGCCCAGCTAATATTTGTATTTGTAGTAGAGACAGTGTTTCACCATGTTGGCCAGGCTGATCTCAAACTCCTGACCTCAAGTGATTCACCTGCCTCGGCCTCCCAAAGTGCTGGGATTACAGGCATGAGCCACTGAGCTCAGCCTCAGAAGAGTTTTAATGAAGAAGGATGCTGAGAGAGGAATGAGTTAACAGGGAGCTGGGGTTGTGTAGGAGTATAAAATGGAGAAGGGGGAGTTAAAGAAAGAAGACTTGACTTCAGTATTGTATCCAAGGTTGGCCATTTCTAAGATAGTGGCTCTATTTCTTTCTACTTAAATCCCACAGAAAGAAAATTGGGAAAAGTTACATATTTTCTCTTAATATTCTATATAGGAGTTACTACTCCTCAGGGCACAGAAACTAAAAGGGTGAAAACTAGAATAAAGTAATTTCCTTTTTTCTCTCTTTAAAGGGGGTGCTGAATGAAAGAGCAGTGGGTTGAGAGTTAGGAACCTAGTTTACTAGTTTTGCTGTTTTAAATTAATCATGTGACTTTGGGTAAATAATCTATCCTAATTGAACCTCAGTTTCCTAAACAGATGATTTCTAAAGCTTAGCTTTCAGTTCAGTTATTCCATGAGTTAGAGAGTCTTTCAACCAAAAAGCAAGTAGTACATTTATCATTTTAATAAAGACATATTCTATTAATTTGGAAAAGCTGAAGACAGTATTAATTTTCCTCCCACAGTCTTAATGAAGAAATAAAGAAACTAATTTTCCATTACCATTCAAGGGGCAATCCACTCCTTCACAGATAGTGAAATTAATGTAACAGATCCAACCAAATGAACAATCTACACATTTTTCTTCCCCTCTCCAATTCTAAGCCTTGGAACTGTATTTTACATTAAAAAGTTTAAAAGTTCACTAAAAATTAATGCAGTTTTAAGACTGCAGCTTACATATAATGAATGCAGCTTACATATAATGAATTTAGAGCAAAATATCTGCAGTGTCCAGTATCTTTGAGTAAGTAACATTTATAATTACCTTCATTTGTTGATGAAGCACAGCAGCTGTTGTGATATTTACTAATTATAATTTCCCTAATTTAAATAACTTGTACCTATAAGGCATGCTTTTCCTAAGGTATTCAGGGTGGCAAGTAGTTATTAAATCATTTATCTTTACAACATATCAATGAAGCTAGTAGGAGCAAGTGTTGTTCTCATTATTTAAAGGAGAAGATTAAAAGTCAAGGATTAGGTCATGATCACACAATAATTTTTTTGTCATGAACATTAAGACTAGAACCAAAGAAATGTATATATTCCTCCCCCATCCACCTTCCTTCCTATTTAGGGGCAGTTCTCTGTTGTGTGTAACTCTAGTGGGATGCAGGGTCTGCCTTCCACTACTGAAACCAAAGAAGGGTGATGTTTCTTTTCCCAGGCTTGTGGCAGCAAGAGTAAGGGCACCTTATCTAGGCTCCAGGATCTGGAAACTCCAACTCAGGGAATGACACACAGATGCAGAAAGAATTTAGGAATTACTTGTAATGCTCAAGACAGCAAGTCTACAGTCCAGTTCTGTGTGTGACCCCCTTTCGCCCCCTAGCGTCCTAACTAGGCTCTTCCTCTATTATTGTCTAGGTTGTGGCTCTTGCTACTCAGGCTGCTTCTGCTTCTGCCATTTTCTGGATCTACTCCTTCAGGCTTCTTATTTTGTGAGCTCACAATATCCTTCCAATAAATTCTCTTCTGCTTATGTTAGCCAGAGCTGTTTTCAGTTGCTTGCATTAATAGGAATAATGTCTGTGTAGTAGGATTATAAATTTATAAAATTATAATTTTCTGAAGAATTTTCTTCAGAAAATTACCTCAAGTCAGCTTTGTGTTTTATATTTTTGTTTAACTCAGACCCGCATTTTGGATACAGTTTCTTACACTTGACTTGACTCACTGAACTCTATGAATAAAGGGGTCCAGCAAGCATTTTATTATATTTTATAGCAAGAACACAGGTTCTCTTAACCTTACTTCTGCTGAAGGCATTATATTTTTATCCCTAAATTGTCCTAGATGCTTATAGTGTTTAAGTTTTGCATTACATTTAAACATTTCTCTATCACATTAGTTGAAGTTTAGCTGCAAAATCATAATGAGCCTGGGAACATGGCCTTTAGGAGAATGTCAAACACATATTTTTTACTGGGTATAATTTATAAGGTTAAAATGGAATTCTATGATATGATGCAAAGAAAAGCAAGATGCCAGGAAGTGTGTATAGAATGATTTCAATTTTATAAACATATGTGAATAGAAAAAAGTACTGGCAGGATAGATAATGAAAATACTAATAGGAATAATGTCTGGGTATTGGGATTATAAGTTAGAGTTCTGTGTACTTTATTTGGCATTAAACAGTTAACATATTATTTCATAATTATGGAAAACCATAATAATTTAAAAGCTTGTTTCTTAAATTTACAAAGGTAGAAAAATATTTCTTATAAAAGCAGGAAGAACAGTATTAATCACTTGGCTTCAACAATTATCAACACATGGCCTTTTTTTTTTTTTTTTTTTTTTTATACGGAGTCTCGCTCTGTGTCTTAGGCTGGAGT